CATACATAATGGGGATTACCAATAGACCCCTGGCTGTCTTCAAGACCCCTGGCTGTCTTCAAGACCCCTGGCTGTCTTCAAGATCCCTGGCTGTCTTCAACACCCCTGGCTATCTTCAACACCCCTGGCTGTCTTCAAGATCCCTGGCTGTCTTCAACACCCCTGGCTATCTTCAACACCCCTGGCTGTCTTCAAGATCCCTGGCTGTCTTCAACACCCCTGGCTATCTTCAACACCCCTGGCTGTCTTCAAGATCCCTGGCTGTCTTCAACACCCTGGCTATCTTCAACACCCCTGGCTGTCTTCAAGATCCCTGGCTGTCTTCAACACCCCTGGCTATCTTCAACACCCCTGGCTGTCTTCAAGATCCCTGGCTGTCTTCAACACCCCTGGCTATCTTCAACACCCCTGGCTGTCTTCAACACCCCTGGCTGTCTTCAACACCCCTGGCTATCTTCAACACCCCTGGCTGTCTTCAACACCCCTGGCTGTCTTCAACACCCCTGGCTATCTTCAACACCCCTGGCTGTCTTCAACACCCCTGGCTATCTTCAACACCCCTGGCTGTCTTCAACACCCCTGGCTGTCTTCAACACCCCTGGCTGTCTTCAACACCCCTGGCTGTCTTCAAGAGGGAGCTGGACAGACACAAAGTCAGTACCTGACCAGCTGGGTTGGGGTTCCTACGTTGGTTTTCGTGCGGCCAGCAGTAACAGCCAGGTTGATTAGATCCTGATCCACCACGGAGGCAGGTCACCGACAGGGCCGCGGGAGGTCAACCCAGGGAACGCCCTCCAGGTATACGGGGGCGCTGACCCCCAGAACATCCTCCAGGTATACGGGGGCGCTGACCCCCAGAACACTCTCCAGGTATACGGGGGCGCTGACCCCCCGGAACACCCTCCTGGTATACGGGGGCGCTGACCCCCAGAACACCTTCCAGGTATACGGGGGCGCTGACCCCCAGAACACCCTCCAGGTATACGGGGGCGCTGACCCCCAGAACACCCTCCAGGTATACGGGGGCGCTGACCCCCAGAACACCCTCCAGGTATACGGGGGCGCTGACCCCCAGAACACCCTCCAGGTACACGGGGGCGCTGACCCCCAAAACACCCTCAAAGTATACGGGGGCGCTGACCCCCCAGAACACCCTCCAGGTATACGGGGCGCTGACCCCAGAACACCCTCCAGGTATACGGGGGCGCTGACCCCCAGAACACCCTTCAGGTATACGGGGGCGCTGACCCCCAGAACACCCTCCAGGTATACGGGGGCGCTGACCCCTAGAACACCCTCCAGGTATACGGGGGCGCTGACCCCAAGAACACCTTCCAGGTATACGGGGGCGCTGACCCCCAGAACACCCTCCAGGTATACGGGGGCGCTGACCCCAGAACACCCTCCAGGTATACGGGGGCGCTGACCCCCAGAACACCCTCCAGGTATACGGGGGCGCTGACCCCCAGAACACCCTCCAGGTATACGGGGGCGCTGACCTCCAGAACACCCTCCAGGTATACGGGGGCGCTGACCCCCAGAACACCCTCCAGGTATACGGGGGCGCTGACCCCCAGAACACCCTCCAGGTATACGGGGGCGCTGACCCCCGGAACACCCTCCAGGTATACGGGGGCGCTGACCCCAGAACACCCTCTAGGTATACGGGGGCGCTGACCCCCAGAACACCCTCCAGGTATACGGGGGCGCTGGCCCCCGAAACACCCTCCAGGTATACGGGGGCGCCGACCCCAGAACACCCTCCAGGTATACGGGGGCGCTGACCCCCAGAACACCCTCCAGGTATACGGGGGCGCTGACCCCCGGAACACCCTCCAGGTATACGGGGGCGCTGACCCCCAGAACACCCTCGGCATCTGTGGCCGAGTGGTCTAGAGCGCCATTTGGGGGACCTTGCCAGTCTCCCTGACGTGATTTCGAATCCTGCTGACTGCGATCTTACCCTGTATGGTACAGGTTGTAAACAGTTGAGGGTATGGGAGGGTATAGGTGGGGGTATATTGATTTTCCGGAGAAGTTCAGCTAAATTGTAGAAGAAATGGGGGCGTTGACCCCCTGAAACACCCTCCAGGTATACGGGGGCGTTGATCCCCTGAAGCACCCTCCAGGTATACGGGGTCGTTGACCCCCTGAAACACCCTCCAGGTATACGGGGTCGCTGATCCCCTGAAGCACCCTCCAGGTATACGGGGTCGTTGACCCCCTGAAGCACCCTCCAGGTATACGGGGTCGTTGACCCCCTGAAACACCCTCCAGGTATACGGGGTCGCTGATCCCCTGAAGCACCCTCCAGGTATACGGGGTCGTTGACCCCCTGAAACGCCCTCCAGGTATACGGGGTCGTTGACCCCTGAAACACCCTCCAGGTATACGGGGTCGCTGATCCTCTGAAACACCCTCCAGGTATACGGGGGCGTTAACCCCCTGAAACACCCTCCAGATATACGGGGGCGTTGACCCCCTGAAACACCCGCCAAATATACCCAGGTAAGATAGTTAAAGATTAGCCGGTATTCTCCCGGCCCGAGCCTTGTCCAAGTGGTGGCCCGGCCTTGACTCCCTCTCTAGGGAGTGTCTGAGACCTAAGTCTCCCATGGGAGGAGGCACAAGTACCTTCTCATCTTTGGGACCAACTGTCCCCAGGCCTAGCCACAAGCTAGGCCTCTCTGGTCTGCCATCCCCGCCCCAAGGGGGATAATGGGAATGACAGTCTTATGAGCTAAAGGCTCGGGCTCTGGCACCTACCCTGCCCTAGAAGGGCTGGGCATGGTGTCGATCCCCAGGTAAGATATGGTTCGTCAGCCTTCCATACCAGGTAGATCTGTCCCTCTCCTGTGGACGACTGAAGAAGGTCTCTCGTGTGGGTGAAACGTTCCAGCTATAACGATGTACCAGGAGCCAAGTGGGTGAGCCAAACGTTACCATTAAAGACTTCCACCACACGTCACGTCACACGTCACGTCACACGTCACGTCACACGAGGTCACAATGACCATTAACACGTCTGGCAAACTCAATGAAGACTCATCTCGTGTGACAATACCACATGAGTCACCTCTCTCTCTCTCTCTCTCTCTCTCTCTCTCTCTCTCTCTCTCTCTCTTATATCCCTTCCTCCATGCGAGTGGTTCCTGGCCCACTATAACAACTACAGTGGTTCTGGCCCACAAATTAACAATTTACGTGGTTGCCTGGCCCACTATAGCAACTCAGTGGTTCCTGGGCCCCACTATAACAACTACAGTGGTTCCTAGCCCACTATAGCAATACAGGGGTTTCCCTAGCCCACTATAGAAAACTCAGTGGTTCCTAGCCCACTATAACAACTACAGTGGTTCCTAGCCCACTATAACAACTACAGTGGTTCCTGGCCCACTGTAGCAACTACAGTGGTTCCTAGCCCACTATAGTAACTACAGTGGTTTCCCTGGCCCACTGTAGCAACTCGTGGTTCCTGGCCCACTGTAGCAACTACAGGGGTTTTCCTGGCCCACTATAGCAAACTACAGTGGTTCTGACCACTTTTTAGCAATACAGGGGTTTCCCGGCCCACTGTAGCAAATTTCAGTGGTTCCTGACCCACTGTAGCAACTACAGTGGTTCCTGGCCCACTGTAGCAACTACAGTGGTTCCTGGCCCACTGTAGCAACTACAGTGGTTCCTGGCCCACTGTAGCAACTACAGTGGTTCCTGACCCACTGTAGCAACTACAGTGGTTCCTGGATCACTGTAGAAAATACAGTTGGGTTCCTGGATCACTTTTAGCAACTTACAGGGGTTTTCCTGGCCCACTGTAGCAATACAGTGGTTCCTGGCCCACTGTAGCAACTACAGGGGTTTTCCTGACCCACTGTAGCAAAACTACAGGGGTTTCCCTGGATCACTGTAGCAACTACAGTGGTTCCGGGCCCCACTGTAGCAACTACAGTGGTTCCTGGCCCACTGTAGCAACTACAGTGGTTCCTGGCCCACTGTAGCAACTACAGTGGTTCCTGGTCCACTGTAGCAACATGGTTCCTGGCCCACTGTAGCAACTGCAGTGGTTCCTGGCCCACTGTAGCAACTACAGTGGTTTCCCTGGCCACTGTAGCAACTGCAGTGGTTCCTGGCCCACTGTAGCAACTGCAGTGGTTCCTGACCCACTATAGCATCTACAGTGGTTCCTGGCCCACTGTAGCAACTGCAGTGGTTCCTGGCCCACTGTAGCAACTACAGTGGTTCCTGGCCCACTGTAGCAAAAACAGTGGTTCCTGGCCCACTGTAGCAAAAACAGTGGTTCCTGACCCACTGTAGCAAAAACAGTGGTTCCTGACCCATTGTAGGTAACAGAAGGGAACAGAGTTAATTACAGGGGCAGGCAAGGGACCCACGACCAGCCTTCTCTGTGTGCTTTACAGGGTTGTAAAGCTGTGTAATTATTCTCTGACAGTGGAGATGCCTCTTACAGTGCCTCTACTCATGGCTCAGTTGGTAGCTGCCTCAGCTCACAAGCCGAAGGGGCCTGGGTTCGATCACCGGTACGGGTTGGAAGCGTTTACACCTGACCCCACCCCACCCTATCTGTATCATGCAGTCACTACAACCTTCACAGTTCACTATTTTGTAAATCACTGTCACAATTCACAATTTTTATTAGCGATTTGTAGCGCGACTGGTAAATTTCGTGGAAAGGGGAAATATCCTTGGTGTTTATGTTGAAGGAAATACTGGGTTATGAGGATAGTGTCACTCTGTGAGTTACAACTCCTTAATGCTGACATTAATATAATAACACCCACCCCATTAGTACTAACGTCAGTGGGTAATAACAGTACTCACCCCATTAGTACTAACGTAATGGGTAATAACAGTACTCACCCCATTAGTACTAACGTCAGTGGGTAAAAAACAGATCACCCCCATTAGTACTAACGTCAGTGGGTAATAACAGTACTCACCCCATTAGTACTAACGTCAATGGGTAATAACAGCACTCACCCCATTAGTACTAACGTCAATGGGTAATAACAGCACTCACCCCATTAGTACTAACGTCAATGGTTAATAACAGCACTCACCCCATTAGTACTAACGTCAGTGGGTAATAACAGCACTCACCCCATTAGTACTAACGTAAGTGGGTAATAACAAGAACAATAACACTCACCCCATTAGTAGTAACATCAATGGGTGAGAATGAGTCCCATGGCTCAGCAAGTCTGGTGTTGACCCTCCTGGGGATCACCACCTCCTCCGTCACCACACCTTCGTCACTACTAGCGTCCATATCCTGAAGACAGAAGCATTCTCAGCGTTAATGGAGAAGTGCTAAACCCGTGGGGAATGGCAGGCAATCACATCTGATAGAAAGTAAACAACAGCAAAAACGTATATAAATTCAAGGGGTAACTCACCTGACCGTTGATGTGTATTGGTGCGCTGGTTTGGTCACTATGTTGGCTGCCTGGTGAGGTTCCTACCTCCTGCTGCTCCTGCTGCTGCTCCTGCTTCTGCTGCTGTTCCGATGCTGCTGTCTCCTCGGCAACCTGACCACGATAACATCACCTTATTATCTATACACATCATATTTATATCATAATATAAATTCTATCACGGCATAGCTCCTGATGAAGCACATGTCATTAGAACGAAAGTCCTAGGGTTATAAAATTCTGGCGTGGTTGTCTAGGACGTCGAAAGTTTAGCTAGCTTCCCAGGATAACGTGAGTAGTCACGAAAGCGCTTGGAATTTCTCTATTCTTTCACAGTGGTTGTTTTGCATATATATATATATATATATATATATTATATATATATATATATATATATATATATATATATATATAATATATATATATATATATATATATATATATACATTAGCACTTCCCCACGAATGTAACAAGATTAATAATAATCACCCCAGACGTATACTATAGACATATACACTGAGAGGTGTATATATATGTGTATAAACTGACACATACACACTTCAAGGTATATAAACACATACAGTTAGGCTAGGGTAGGTAAGTTTGTCAGGAAACATTAGATTAAGTTAAACCCACTTGTGTAGCTCATATCAAGTTAACCCACTGGAGTACTACCTTAGATCATGTTAACCCACTGGAGTACTACCTTAGATCATGTTAACCCACTGGAGTACTACCTTAGATCAATTTAACCCACTGGAGTACAATCTTAGATCAAGTTAACCCACTGGAGTATTACCTTAGATCAAGTTAACCCACTGGAGTACCACCTTAGATCAAGTTAACCCACTGGAGTACTACCTTAGATCATGTTAACCCACTGGAGTACTACCTTAGATCAATTTAACCCACTGGAGTACAATCTTAGATCAAGTTAACCCACTGGAGTATTACCTTAGATCAAGTTAACCCACTGGAGTACCACCTTAGATCAAGTTAACCCACTGCAATACTACCTTAGATCAAGTTAACCCACTGGAGTACTACCTTGGAACAAGGTCACCAGACCAAGTAGCAGCTTGGTTGAACGTGAGACCAGTCCGACCACCAAATAACAACTGCTTCACCACACAACCTGTGCTATGGCTGCTGCCATGGTCCACCATACTACCATCGTCTACCTGGTACTCACGAGTCCTCAGGAACCACTGTACCATACCACAGTGTCAGCACCACTGTATGTCTTACCTTAACGCCCAGCCAGTGGAAAGTTATATCCGATACACTACCAATTCACCACTGCCACCTCTCCCACCTTGTAAATAAAAAAATCTAAGTGGCAACTCGCTACTCTAGTATTGTTGCCATAAATGGGTAAATTATCTGACCTAGGACATGCTCAGTGACCTATTGTGGTCTTTGCCACTTAGATAAGTGGGAAAACCTATCGTTTGTTAGATGTTACCTACAGCATGACACTATCTTCCTTCACAAGAGTGTAAATGACTGAAAGAAAGACCTGACGGAGCGATAATAGCTATATAATACAAGTGTTGGTGAGAGCCATGGTAGCATGGTTGTCATGCAGAGCATCCCTGCATGGAGGCTGGAGATGGCATGCATGTCTGGGTCTCTGCAGTATGTCCAAAATACAACCCTGACATAGGATCATCACCATTGCCTAGCAGGGGAGAAAATTTTTTATTTTCTTTGGGGCCTTCGAGTCATCAGTTGAAATTTATATATAAAATTTGTGATATAGACTTAATTGTTGATTGAGATGTATATAGAGATGTGTATGATGGAATATACACTGCTAGAGTTGTATTGCAGTGGAGGAAAGCGGTGTATGTCAACTATTCCTCTGCAGGGCGGCGGCCAATCGATTGAGGGCGGCCCCCACCAGGAGGGTCCCTTGATGCTGCTGAAGAACTCTTGATCTGAGGAACTGGAGTCACCCTCTTTGCGTCAAACACCATTACCTACAAGTCGCTGGGTGACCCCACCGGGTTTAGCGCTACCACCATAAATGCAAACCTCAGTAGGTGAGTAGGTACAATTGTCAGGAAACAGGACAAGTGTTTCCTGACGCTGGTCTTAAGTTATATAATAACTCACAGGTGGAGTCTTTGGTCATCTGACGGAGACCTTCCACTGGCTTACCTCTCCACCACTTTAAAAACTAAGTTTTAAAAAAAATTTTTCCCTTGATTCCCCGGGTTTATTTTTTTTTTTCCCCCGACAGAAAAAACCCAATTCACAACAAATATTTTTGAAGAAAATCCCAAACCTAAAAAAATTTATGAAAAAATTTTCCCATAAAAAATAACCAACAATTCAAAAATTTTCCAAAAAATATAAAAACAATCCAAATTTTGTTATAATTATAGGCAAAAAAAAATTTAAAAATATGCTTTTAATGGCGGGAAACTCAAAATAATTAGCAAAAAATTGATAAGCGTTAAACCTGCGGGGGAGACTCACCCTGCCCGGGGTAACAGCACCCGGGTTTGATCCGGGGGGAACAATAGAGGGTTTCATTTCCCTTGGATCAAGACCCCTTCACCTGCATCTCAACACATTGGGGGGGGGAAATTTAAAAAAAACTGACCTTCTGAGTTTTTACTAAAGCCCAGAGTACACATTATGTTGGTAAAAACTGAGGTGGGGGGCTGTTACTGAGATGAAACTGAGATGACCTAGATGAACTGAGATGAACTGAGATGACCTGAGAGGGAAACTGAGATAAACCTCACCTTTGTCCCAAGATGTCCAATTTGTGTGGAAAAACATGGGGGTTTTCTCCTGAAGGTGTTGCGTAGTGTGGGGGGTTGGGGGCCCTGGTTTTTACGGGGCGCTTGGAACGGGGTGGTGGGTGGGGTGGGGGTGGGGGGTGGGGGGGGGTGGGGGGGTGGGGGGGGGTGGGGTGGTGGAAGGGTGGGTGGTGGTGGTTGGGGGTGGTGGTGGGTGGCGTGGGGAAAAAAAAGGGGTGGGTGATGGTGGTGGTGTTTTTGGTGTGGTAATGGTAAAAAGGGGGGGTTGGTATTTGGATGGTAGGGGTGGTGTTAGTAGTGAAAAATTTTGTTCCCTTACCTATCAACCGGCTTTTTAAGGCGGCCCAAAAACGAAAACCAATTTTATGAACCACAGCCCCGGCTAGTCAGGAAATGATTTTTGTGCCCTGGCCCCTGAAAATTATTGAAATTGTCCCCTGTGAATTCTGTTTTGAAGATCTGGGACTAGCCCCTGGTTTTTCCCAAAGTGTAAATTATGATATACCCTCCCGGGTTTCCCAGGGGTACAGGGAAGGGACTTAAACCCCTTTCCCCGAAAATTTAGGTGCGTGGTAATACACACCCGTAAAAATCTCCGTATTTCTCCAGGTCGAAATTTTTCACCTCCCTTTGAAAGGGCTGTTTTGGTTTTGCCCCCAAAACCCCCTCTTAAATTTTTAAAAAGGGTTCTCTTTTACCCTTTACCCTTTTTTCCCAAAACAATGCGGAAGATACTTTGGGTTGTGATTTTTGAAAGGGGAGTCCCTGACATTTAAATCTTGGGGCTTTAACGAAGATTTTTCGCAGTTTTTTGGGGTTTGAAATTTTCCCTTTATACCCGTTTACTTTTTTAATTTCTAGGGAGTTTTCCATAGCGGGGGAAATTAAAATTGTCTTAAGTGTACATACTTTTGGTTTTCCCGGGGGCCCAATGACAGACTTGCTTTAAAATCGCTTTTTGGAGTTGGGTGTCCAATGGATGACAACCCAGCAAATTGTTTAATTTATGAAAGGAGACAGGGTGCAAAGGTGTACTCTTTACGTCTGATATGGGATGGGGAACAGGAGGGGGGCGAGTCCCTTTTCCTTGGGGAACCACGGGACCCATTACTTGCCTTGTGGAACACGGGACCCAGTACTGTGCCTTGGGGAAAACCTGGGAGCCAGTACTTTACCTTGTGGAAACGGGGAGCCTTTTTTTAATGTGCCCTTGTGGAAAAAGGGGAGCCATTACGTGCCTTGTAAACACGGGGAGCCAGTACGTGCCTTGTGAACATTTGGGAGCCAGTACTTTTCCCCTTTGGGAAAAAATGGGACCCAGTACGTCCCCTTTGGGGAACACGGGGAGCCAGTATGTCCCTTGGGGAAACCCACTGGGAGCAAAGTCTGGGGCCTTTGTGGAACACGGGAGCCAAAATGTCCCTTTTGGGGAACACGGGAGCCATTTACGGGCCTTTGTTGGAACACGGGGAGCTGTATTTGTGCCTTGGGAAAAAACCGGGGAAACCATTTAAGTGCCTTGGGAACAGGGGAGCCAGAAACTGTGTTTGGGAACACGGGGACCCTGGCTGTTGCCTTGGGGAAACACGGGGGAGCGATTTTCTGGGGGCCTTGGGGAAACCGGGGAAACGAGTACTGGGGCCTGGGGAAAAAAAAAAATGGGAACCGGGACTTTTGCCTTGTAAAACACGGGGGAGCCGTGCTGTGCCTTGTGGAACACTGGGAGCGAGTACTGGGGCCTTGTGGAACACTGGGACCCAAAATGTGTTGTGGAACACGGGGAGAAAAAAGGCTAGTTGGGTGGAAAAACTGGGTTTCCAGTACTGTCCCTTTGGGGAAAAACTGGGACCAGTACTGTCCCTTGGGGAAAAAAGGGAGCCAGTACTGTCCCTTGGGAACATGCGACCCAAAGTACGTCCCTTGTGGAAACGGGGAAAGCCAGTACTGGGCCTTGGGGAAAAAGGGGGACCCATGCTGTGCCTTGGGGAAACACTGGGACGAGTACTGTGCCTTGGGGAAAATGGGGCGAGTCCCTGTGCCTTGGGGGAAACACTGGGACCCCGTACTTTTCCTTTGCGGAAAACTGGGAGCCGTGCTGTGCCTTGTGGAAACTGGGGGGGGAGTACTTTGCCTTGTGGAAACGGGGGAAGCCAGTACTGTCCCTTGTGGAACACGGGACCCAGAAACGTCCCTTGTGGAACACTAGGAGCTATACTGGGCCTTGGGGAAAACCGGGGAAACCCCAGTATTCTCCCTTGTGGAAAAATGGGAGCCAGTACGGTTTCCCTTGGTGGGAAAAAACCTGGGAGCTAGTACTGTACCTGTGGAACACTGGGAGCC